TGCTATCTGTGGTCGTTCCCACTTCTAACCCTGTCCTTGTTGCTCTCATGTTGTGTTTCTTTGTCTTTGTTGTTGCCGTTTGTCAGTGGGGGGAGTTGCTGGAGAGCAAGGAACCCGTCGTGCTACCGTCCGACCCTGACCAGATGCCCGACGCCATTGTGCACCTTCAACGGGTGAGCTATCATAGCTGCTGTACAACTGGTGTGGGTATTGAGGGAGAGGGGAACACGCAAAGAGAGACGGGATGCAAGATTAAAGCATGTCCTTGGTTTTGTGTATGTCTTTCGTCAGGTTTCCCGAAAACGTTTGTAGGCGCGCCCCTTTCCGTTGCAATTCGAGGCCTTGGCTTGCGGTGATGACGACGACGCTGACGAGCGGCAATGCTGCGTTGCCGCCACACACTCCAAGCCGCTAAATACAGCTAAGAGGCAGACAGACACACAGACGGACACACGTGATGTGACCCCGGTGACCGGCATATTGGTCGTCGCTTACTTTAATCAGCGGGCTTGCTTTCGGCCCCCTTGAAACCGTGCATTCTCTGTCTCTATCTGTCTCTCTGTCTCTCTGTCTCTCTCTCTCTCTCTGTCTCTATCTGTCTCTCTCTCTCTCTCTCTCTCTCTCTCTCTCTCTCTCTCTCTCTCTGTGTGTGTGTCTCTTGTCTCGTGGTTCCTCTCTTCCCGTCGCCGTGTGTCTCACTTGCCGATACACCTCCACCGGGCCATACAGCACAGCGCGTCTTTTCTTTACATACATACCTCCCCGCTCGCACTGACGCTCCTGCGTGCGTTCCTTACTCATCCCACGGGACAAACAGGGAGAAGACAAGGTTCCCATCTGCTTCTTCCGGATCCCGGCCAAGGAGTTGCTAGAGAAGGGGATGGAAGGTATATCTCCCCGGTGGCTGCTCCTCGGAGAGGATAAGGTGACAACCGAACCAACAGCAACAGTCTAACAGTGGTGGATGAATCTCGAAACTCGAAAGAGCCTCTCGCAGCGGGGGCAGGGGGGGGGTCAGGAGTGTTGCGTGTTTTTTCGCTGGAACTGGTCCGTCTCTGGTGTTGTGTTGCACCCCGTTGGTAATCCGTATGCCGCGCGTGAACCCCCCCCCCCCCCCGACCCTTTGGGAAACTGCTTTCCTTTCATTTCCGTATGATGCTGTAGTAGATACTTCGGGCGCGTTTTCCCACCTCCCCGCAGACCCGTAACGTCTCACGCCGGTGTTTCTTTCTTTTTTTTATGTGTTTATTTCCCACGTGTAACACTGTTGTTCTCATTATTTTTTTTCTTCTGTTATTGTTTGCGTGTCGGTCTTACGCTGCCCTTGCCCACCGCTCCTCCCCTCAGGTGCTGGATTGCCTCCCCCCCGGACAATACCCCGGGTCCGTGCTGATCAAGCTCGGCCTCGGCACCCTCCGACAGTTTTCAGAGTCGGCGGCCGAGTGGCAGGCGGAGGCCTTGAAGCTCAGGAATCGAACGTCCTACCTTCTTCGCGTGCACATCTACCAGGTGAGAATTCTGTAACAGTTGCTCGCGCGAGGGGAAGGGGGGGCGGGTTACGCTACTTCTGCGCTGGGGGGTGGGGGTCTCTCGGTTGCGTGTGTGTTGTGAAGTACGTGTCAAGTCGGCTGAGAGGTTCGGCATGGCTGTGCTTGTGCTTTGCGAGGAAACTCGAAGCTGAGGAAGCAATACGAAATACTGGAAGGTACTGCTGCTGTTACTCCAATTCTGTCAGCGCACGTACACCGAATCGAAAAGGGTTTGGAAATTGTTGAGGGGGGCGGGTCATTGCATATTGCATACTGTACTGTGGCCATAGCTGTAGCTGTAGCTGTAACAACGCCTGTGACACCAGCCGGGCCCATCCATCCATCCCGTCCCGTTCGCCTACATCGGGTTGACGGAAGCTTCGTCAGCCGCCCTATCTGTTGGGTCGGCGGGAGAAAGTCCCCCACCTGTTCCTCTCTTTGGATGAATCGTTTGATCGACCCCCTCGCTCGCGTACGCCCCATGATAGGACTAGCTTATGGCCCTGAGCCAAACACCACCGACCAAGCCCAAAACTTTCCGTCGGTCTTGTGCATCTCAGCTCGAAAATGGCAAACGAACTTGGACTTGTGTATCTATCGCGTCCTTTGCTGTTAAAAAAAAAAACAGGGACGAGATTTGCCGGCGGCCGACGACAACGGGCTGATGGACCCCTTCCTGAAGATGCAGTGCCAGGGGGAGAAGCTGAACACGGAGGAGTTCATGTACCTGGGGAAGGCGGTGCACCGCAGGAGGGAGACGGTCGACCCCATGTGGTACTTCACGTGGGAGGCGGACCTAAACCTGCCCTCCGTCGAGCTGCAGAGATACTTCCCCCAGGTGTGTCATGTGTGTATGATTGTTGTTAGCGTCGACCGCGCTAACCGGCTGACCAATGAGAAGACGTCAATCTCAGCGTGCGTGTGTCTTTGTTGTTAGCATCTACAGCACTAACCGGCTGACCAATGAGAAGACGTCAAGTCTCAAGCGTGTGGGTGTTTGTTGCTAGCGTCGACCGCGCTAACCGGCTGACCAATGAAAAAATGTCAGCCTCGGTGCGGCTAGAAGCGGGAAACGCTCGTGTTGAGGCCGTGATCTGGGACCCCGTGAGGGGGCTCATGCGGCAGGCTAGACTATTCTCCGGGTTACAGACAGACAACGATAGCAGATAGAGACAACTGCACGTTGTTTGAGGTCTTGTGTACATAGTGAGCATCTTTTACCGCGCTACACTAGCCAGCGAACCGGCCGACGATAATTCGTCAGTCTTAATGTATATAGCGGGTCAACAAATGACATACGTACCCGCGCCTCCGTGTTGTTTAGTTCTACATCAACCGGGCTGACCGGCTGACCAATGTCTTTTTTTTTGCGTTGCCGTCAACCTCGCCAACCGGGTTTCCAACGAAACGGAGTCGATCTCAGCTACCATTGATTTCGCGTCGCTCCTTGTGTGCTTGTTGCAGGTGAGCATCCAACTGATGGACTGGGACCCGCTCGACCCGAACGACTACGCCGGCTGCATGTTCCTCGACCTCGGCAGCTGCCCCATCGAGATGGACCAGGCAAACATCCCCTACCCCCCCCTCCCGACGTGGATGCCCTTCTTTTTGGAGAAACCCGGCGATTCTTCGGGAGAGCTGCTGGTATCCTACCAGGTCAGACAATGCTTGCTTTTCGGGTGACGGGGGGTGAGAGGGGGGGGGGGGGGGGACTGAGAGTATGGTTGTGACCTACGGATGGTGGTGCCGTCGCCGCGCTCCGTGCAACAGCCAGTCCGTGTGTGTTTTGGCTTAACGAAGATCTCTAGTGACGCCCCTTCCTGTGGTTGTTGCTGCTGCTGCACCGCCGACCTGCTGACTGGTTGTGATTCTGTTGCCCGGAGGTTTCCGCACCCTCGACGTCTGTGTCCGCGTGTCTCTTCCTCTCTTCTCCCTCTGTCTGTCTCGCTCTCTCACGCCCTCGCTCTCACATTCTCTTTCTGCCTGTGCGTCCCTGAAACCCTTCCTGCTCGGACACTCTGCCCCGCTTCCTTTTTACCCCCTCCCGTCTCTGCAGCTGATCAAGACCACTCGCCCGGGCCTGTCGCTTGCACCCCCGCCCGACCTCACCCCCAAGCTGAAGCCGGCCTACTTGGAGATACTGGCGCTGGGCATCCGCGGAATGCAGCCGTTCGAGATGCTTCCGATGCAGATGCCCTACATGCAAATGGAGGCAAGTGTGGAGCTGCGATGTGTTGCATTCTGAAGTCCTCGAGACTATTTCCTGTTGAATTCTTCAAGAAGTGGTGTACATATGTTGTGTTGCGCTCTCTCGTGTGATTTTTCTTGTGCTTTTTTAGACCAAACACTCTTGAAGCCCGCCTCTCCAGTGCCCTCCTCGAAAGATGGCAGTATTATTTTGTCTTCTAATCGACACTGGTCTCTCTCTCCTAGTGTCCGAGGAGGACCGTAGGGTAGTCGAGGTTGGGTTTCTCCTTCTCAAAGCACCTATGTCCCTCTCTAGCTCTCTAGCTCTCTTCTGTCTCTCTGTCCTTCCTGGCTCCGCTGAACCATTTCCGCCCGGTTTAGCTGCCGCTAGCTTCAGACCTGTGCGTATCACCCCCTACACACCCACCACCACCGCCAACAACAACAATACAACAACGGTACAGGTTGATCTACCGCATGGGAAGAAGGTCTCCCTGACCACGAACCCTTCCAAGAAGCCCTCGGGGGCGGATGCCAACTTCTTGGAACGGCTGAAGGTGCCGCTCGACCTACCCGTCAATGAGATCTTCGCCCCTAGGCTCAAGCTGTGCGTGCGGGACGTGCGGCTCGGCGGGTGAGTACTGGTGGGGGGGGGGGGGGGGGGGGTTTTGGGTGGGAAAAAAAGGGGGGATTCCCGGCTAAAAATTTCTTTTTTTTTGGGCGGCCTCGGGTCCACGTCCCCCCCGGGGGGAGAAACGGGGGGCCAAAAGTTGGGGAAAAAAATTTTTTCTTTTTTGGGGCGGGGGGGACCCCCCAACATTTTTCCCTGGGAGGGGGGGGCGCCCCCCCTTTGGGAAAAAAGAAAAGAGAAAAAAAAAAAAAACCCCCTGTTTTCGGGGGTGGTATCCACGTTTGACCCCAAGGAGTTTTTTTTTTCCCGGAACGGAAAGGGGGGGGGGGGGGGGGGGGGGCCCCTTTTTTTGCACCCATAAATTGGGGGGAGAGGGGGGGCCCCCTGCACTCGCGCCCCCAAAGGTGGGGGGGGCTTTTTTTTTGAGAAAGGGAAAATTGGGGGGGGTTTTTTTTTCCAAAAAATAGATAGTGTTTCTAACCCCTTTGTTCTTTGTGGGGGTGCCTGCAAACGCTTTTTTTGGGGGAAACCAAAAATAAATGGGGGGGGGGGGGGGGGGGGGGGGGGGGGGGGGGGGGGAAAAAAAAAAAAAAAAAAAAGACACCCCCCT